TGGTTTGACACAAGGTTGCAAGTCTTTTTGTTGGATATTTTTTTCTTTGGAGCTTTGGAAAGAATTTTTGAGCTTGGTGGGGGACTATTGAGGTAAACATGTTCCGAATATATGCTTTGTATTTGAAATGGGATGTATATTGATGTTTCTTTTATGGTGACACATCAAGTGCATGTTTAGCCCTCTCAAGTTATGATTGGTTGTGAGAATTCTATATGTATTTCTATGATTAAGTGGCTTCGTTGATAGAGTTTGAAAAAAAAGTATTAAGTGATTATGAGATTTATATCTTTCCCATCACCGGTACAAGCATAATGTCGGTATGAGCCTTTGGCAAGTATCATTGTTGTGAGAGTGTGAACCTTATCATATTAGAAAGGTGTTTTATGCATGAACTGTTGTAAGCTTGCTTGTACTCCGAATTACAAATGTGCAAGTTTTCTTAGATTTTATTTCATGGCATACGGCGCATTTGTTGAAAGACAACCATAAATTTCTTATCTATGCAAATAATGTCATTGGAAGCATATGCTTTGTTATCAATATATTCCTAATCTTTCTAATTGCTCTTTTTTTCTTTAGACGCCTGTATTTCGTGTAATGTTTTGAAAAGTCATAAACTATCATTTTCCAACAGCAATTCTACTAGTACTAAACCATTCCAACTTGTCCACTCTGACGTATGGGGTCCGTCACCCCATCCTTCAATGAATGGCTTTAAATACTATGCTATCCTTATTGATGATTTTTCAAGATTTTCATGGCTGTATTTACTTCACTCTAAAGATGAAACGTTCACCAAATTTTAACAGTTCTGTAATCTAATTAAAAATAAATTCAATTCCAACATTCAGACTTTCCGATCCGATGGAGGAGGTATTAACAACAATTTTTGAAACTACCTTACTCAGCACGACATCACTCACCAAATTAGCTGCCCTCACACACCAGAATAGAACGAAACTGCCGAATGAAAGCATCACCACCTTCTCGACCTGACCAGTACGCTTCTTCACACAGCTCAACTTCCCCCATCCTTCTAGGCCAAAGCTATATCTACTGCAAACTATCTCATAAATCGATTACCATCCTCTGTCATTCGCAATCAAACCCCTTACTTTTGGCTGCAAGTTCATCAAGTATCCTACAACCACCTTCACACATTCAGTTGCTTATGCTTTCCTTGGACCAAACCCTATGCCCTGGACAAACTATCACCTCACTCACATGAATGCATCTTCCTCGGTTATTCCACTTAGCAAAAGGGATACCGCTGTCTAAATATGAAAAATAATCGCATTTATATATCAAGACATGTGGTATTCTATGAGTATTAGTTCCCGTATCACATGTCTTCTCCGACTCCATCCACTCAAAGGAAAAACAATTTGTATTCTCCACTCCTACTTGTTCCTCCATCAACACTTTCCCAAAACATGACGACCATCACACCTTCCGCAACCAACCCCACGTTTGTTCCATCTTCCCTCCCTTCTGCATCCATATCACCTTCTAACACCAATGTAACCAACCACAAGGACACTTCCATCCCGCTCTACCTCCCTATGAAAACTATATCTTGCTCCGGCATATTTAAACTGAAACAATTCTTTGATTTATTTGTGGTATCGCTCGTTGATCAAACACCTACATCTTACGCTCAAGTTTCAAAGCAAGAACACTGGCGTACACCCATGTCCTCCGAATATATTGCCATACAAAAGCAGGGAACATTGTCATTAGTGCAACAGCCAGTGAACAATCCCATCTTAGGCTGCAAGTGGACGTTCAAGAAAAAGCTTCAACCGAATGGTCAAATTGCATGATACAAAGCACGCCTCATTGCCCAAGGGTGCTCACAAGAATTTGGTTTCAACTACATCGAAACCTTCAATCCAATGGCCAAAATGATTACAATCCATATTCTTCTCACCGTCGCTCTACAAAATAAGTGGTCGATCACCTAGCTCAACATCTCTAATGCCTTTCTTCATGGCGAACTTCAAGACAAATTCTACATGAAACAACCCATTGGCTTTGATAACTCCCAATATTCGCACCACATCTGTAAACTGCATAAATCCATCTACGGCTTAAAACAATCACCTCGCTAATGGTTTCAAAAATTTACTACATTTCTTCAAACTCTCTTATTCATCTTTAGCAAAGCTGGCCCGTCACTCCTTATTCTTGATCAAAATGACACTCACTTATTTATTATTATCTATGTAGATGACATTCTAATTACAGGAAACAACACTTCTAGGATACATAACATTCTGCAATAACTTCACTCCACATTCAGTTTAAAACAACTTGGCGATGTCTCCTTCTTCCTCGGTATCCAGGTGATCAAAACACCAAATGGCAATTTTCTGACTCAACGACACTATGTAAGCGAATTACTTAATCATGCAGGTTTCTCCGAGTGCAAACCATTCTCCACACCCATGGGATCTAAGTCAAGCCGCCAACAGGATGATCATGTATACTTAGATCCCACCCTCTTTTGCAAACTCACTGAATCATTACAATATCTCTCAATCATGAGACCGGACATCACTTTTGCTGCTAACTCAATTTGCCAACATATGCACCATCCCCAGAATTGCGACCACCAAGCTCTCAACCGGCTTCTAAGGTAAATCAAAGGCACCATTGACTTAGGCCTACCACTCACTTCCAGCGATGTTCAACTTCGCACCTACACTGACACTGACTGGGCAGCCGACTCAATAGATCGGAAATCAATTTTTGGTTTCTACACCTTTTTCGACAACAACCTAGTCTCATGGTCCGTCAAGAAGCAAACAATAATAGCCAAGTCATTAATATAAGCCAAATGTTGTGCCCTCTCCTCCGCCACCTCGGACATGTTGTGGCTATGACGCTTAGTGGAAGAACTTCATATACCACAAATCGCTCCAACACCAATATTTTGTGACAACACGTCTACCATTGCTCTCACCAACAACCCCGTCTTCCATGTCCAAACTAAGCACATCGAAATAGACTATCACTTCATTAGTGGGCACATCAAACAAGGGGCAATCACCACTAATCACATTAGTTCAACTGACTAGATCACTAACATCCTCACCAAGCCTCTCTCAACAAAGCAGTTCACCAATCTCCGGTTCAAATTAACCATTAGCTCCCGTAATGATTAATTTGAGGTGGTCTATTAGCACTACTTCTTGTTTTACTTTACACGTCAGCTGTACTTTCTTGTTTGGCATGTTTCTATATATACTCCACTGTGTAACTATTGCATTTGAACAATATATACAATTCCTTCTATTCTCTCTATCTCGTTCTCTGTTCTGCTCTCCGCCTAGTTCTTCCTCCTCTTCGTGTTATTGTCTTGTACAAGAACTCTATTACAACTATGGTCAAACATGAAACCAAAATAGTTCAAATTATTCTAATGATGATTATGAACATGTTCAAACTAATTCCAAGGGTCTATAAGGATGTTTGAGCCAAAATGCCATATGAGTGGCATGAATTATAAATATTTGGAGGTTTTGGAATAATGGGTTTTAAGGTTTGGAGGAGCTTAGTGTAACACCCTAGGGTCTAATTTTGAAAGAATTATCTATTAATTAAACAATGAGAGCTTTTATGAATTCCTCAATATAAATTAATCCAGCGAAAGTAACTAAAAATCATATACATCAAAATCTAAAAGTATATTCATCCCTTAAAATTACTATATATAACCGAGGAGATCAATCATTAAATTTATTTAAACTTTCTAAGCGAGAGAGTGTGTGTTTTCTTGTGAGAGAGTGCCCATTAGCTATCTTCCTCTGTTATGCACCTTATGATTTAAAGCTATAACTATTTTGAGAGAATTAAACTTTGTTTGAGATAGCTTTCTTAATACTTTCCAAAGCAGCTCTTTAGTATAAAAAATTTTAGTTTAAGAAATTTTTGTACGAAAGAACTATATTAGAAAGTAGTTAGAAAGCTATCTCAAATAAAACCTTAGTTTTGTATTTGTGAGCGATCTTGGATATCTAAAACTCTTATAAACTTATTTTGACTAGCTGGTGGGCCAGAGTATTAGTCTTCTTGCTTGAAGTAGAAGATAGGGTGGAGGATTTTTCTTTAATTAGGAAAGAGAGAAGCTTCCCTTTCTTATGACATCTAAATAAGGGAGTAATGGAAATCTTGAGAGAATGACTCAAAATATGCACATGGGCATTCATATTGAACCACAACAAATTTGATTTGAGCTTTTTTTTTTTCTTTTTTGCACCATCATCTTACTTGCACAACTTTATTGCTTATATTATATTGATTGTGTAATGTAGAACATTGTAACACGTATGCTACATTATTTACAACTCAATTGAGAGATTTGATATTGCATGTTATACACGTCACTTAAGGTATTTAGCAAACCAGTCCTTTGCTCTATAAACTTGTATTGTGAAGCAATCTTATGATTCAAAGAATTTGTGTAGTTAAAAATTTTGTTTTAAGAAAAAACAAAACTCATTAGAATTTTCTCTTGTTACAAATGTTTTACTAATAATATTGCTTTGAAAAAAGATCAAAATAAAATTTGATATTTTGTTCCTATTCCTATTAGTTTAACTTTATTTGTTTTAATATATGTTGTTTGTTTCAAAGAAAGAAAAAATAAAAAAATATTTTTTACTTTACTAAAATTTTTTTATGCACTAAGTCACTCTCCCTTCTAATACACTATACTTCTCAATATTCTCTAACACATAATTTGCCTATTTATAATTTTTTTATATTAATACATTTTATGACAATTATTCCTTATTACCTTGTTCATCTAATTATAATTTTATATTAAATTAAGAATTCATTTGGGATAGCTTTTAACCACTATTTAATTTTAAAAATTTTGATGATAAAAAGTCCATTTATAAAGTAATAAGAAACTTTGTTATATTATAATTTTACTTATTTTCATCTTTAATATATATATTTGAAAATATGACAAAGGGAATCTACAAACATACAAAGCCAAAGCGTAATTCTATGACCAGCGGGCCGTAACAGTAAAGCATGGCTCCAACTGCTAATTCTTCTCTCTTTCCCTAATCCTTGACCAAAATCGTCCAATGTGCTCTGAGGTCCATTCCTCTCGTCACCTACAACAAAGATCTCCACTTCTTCCCTCTCTGCACGATTTAATTTTCCTCCAACTTGGTGTTCAAAAGGTGCCGATCCGATAATTTTGCCTCTGAACCATCTTCTTCCTTATCTCCTCTTTTTTTTTTGGGAGATTTTTTGAGACTTACAAGCAACAGCCAGATTAATGTCAAGTTTACGCCTTTAAATCTTTGTACCGATTGGGAAATTTGAATGTTCTGCGCGAATTCCGCTGTATCTGAAGAAATAGTGTGGTTTGGTAGGCTTCGTTGAGTTTTGCCTTTGTTTGGTGGGATTAGATGTCGTTCCGGAGCATCATTCAGGACATGCGAGAGGAGATCGGGAGTATATCGAGGAAGGGGTTTGAGGTCAAGCTGGGTTACGGGCTGAGATCGGGTTCGCACAGGGTGTTGCGTGATGGGTTGAGGCCGTCACCGATCGATGCACTGAAGCAGAGCTGCTGGGCTAATTTGCCGTCGGAACTCTTGCGAGATGTTCTGACGCGGATTGAGGAGGCTCAGGCCTCGTGGCCGCATAGAAAGGACGTTGTTTCCTGTGCTGGGGTGTGCAGGAGCTGGAGAGAGATCATGAAGGAGATCGTCAAGACTCCAGAGGTCTCAGGGAAGCTAACTTTTCCGATATCTGTGAAACAGGTCGAATTACTGAGCCCCTGACTCGCTTATATTAGTTTCTGGTATTCTTTTTTTTTTTTTTTTTCTCCAATGTCTATTCCTTGTGTTATGCACACGAAATTCTTCTTTTGCCTTTTTTGGCTGGCTGACCTATTCTGTATTAGATTTCATAAAAATGATGTATATGATATAGAATTTGATTTTGCCAGAGGAAGAAAAATAAATCTAAGGTGATTTTTCTTGCTTTAACAGGTGATTTATTAATAACGTGGTTTCATGATTAAAGCTTTTTGGAAGATAATATGTTATTTACAGCCCTAGTAGAGCTCAATGATGTTAATAGGATCTGTCTTTGTTTTACCTAACAGATTTTATGATAACTTTTAGAACTATGATGAAATGAGGATGTAATTTTCTCTCCTAAATGTTTCACATCTTACTATGTCACAGATTACTGGATTAGATTAAGTTTGAGAGGTAGTTTGTTGAATTGCTTGCAAATGTTTGTGGAGCTCCACTCATATGGACTTAACCTTGTAATTATTGCAGAAAAAAGCTTTAGTATTTGATATTATTCACATTAGATAGATGTTTACAAGAGTCTTGGGTTTGATATTGACATGGATTGTGTGTCTATCTGTATTGTAATGTAGTTTTAGAAAAAAATGTACTCAGCTTCTTTGTATTTCCATATCACTGTGCCTTTTCTCAGGGTTTTAGCTATTTTTGCAGCCTGGTCCAAGAGATTTTCCACTCCAGTGCTTTATAAAGAGGAATCAAGCTACTCAGACATTCTATCTTTACTTCAGCCTCACTGAAGGTAAGTCTTACCACTTTTTAAAGTCATACATCTGTTACCCTATCTTTGTATTATTTTGTAACAGATTTGTCCTGAAGAAAAGGATTTTCTTTCTTCAGTGAATTTAGTGTTATGTGTTTATAATGATTGGTGTTATGGATTAAATAGGTGGTTAATGTCTATTTACTAAGTTTTCAGGGCAAATTATATGACATGGTTTGCTTATTCTTGATGGCAGTTTTAAGCATTTTTAATTTTGTTTTGAACTTTGATGATGCAACTGGATTGAATAATAGAGAATGGGTATCATTGATACTGTGTTTTATGATCCTAAACATTCTTTAAAAAATCATAGGTGTGTGCATGTTACACTGGGCCTATATCTAGATGTTCAGTTTTTTATTACAGTGACGTTAAACAATTGAGGTACATTTATCAACATGTACGGTTAACCATTTCTACTGACAATTTCAATTTTATGTGCCCATTTTTAATGGTAACACCTGTTATTATGTGGATTTTTTTTTTACTGTCATCATCAACATTTGCATTAATTGGTTTATGAAAGAATCATCAGGTAGAATGTCTGAATTGTCAATTGAAAATGGTGAGAATACAGAATCGTAGGAGTAAGAGATGTTTCTTTTCTTTACTTTGTAATTCTACCATGGAGGAATAAGAACATCCTCATTTTGATGAATGAGAGCGTTGAAGGAACACTTTTGGCCTGGTCATCATTGTGTTCACCAAACTTTCAAGGACCTTGTATTCTGCAACATTGGAAGAACATGAACCAAATTATAAAGAAGAGAATGCGTACTCTTCCCAACACAGTGAGTTAAATGTTGCCCATTGTGGTGTGGTAGTGGCAACTACAGCACCCAGTTAGGAAGCAGTACCAAGCTGCCCTTGAGAATTATTTTAGGTTGATCAACATTATCAATTTTGTGACTCATGTAGTTTAGCACTAGCACATTTATACGATCTTCTATTTTAATATACAAAATGTTATATTATATAACTCTATTCTGTAATTTATTTGTTTGTAGAAGCTCACATGGCTTGTCACAGTCCATGCACATGAAAATTTGAAAAAGCTTTTGTCTTGCCCAAAATAGCTTCATCACTTGTTTTTAATCTTGCTTTATAGATTTCTGAACACTTTCGTAGTCTGATTATGTTTATTGTATTGCTTTTATTCCTTTGGCACTACTCTGCATTTTTCTTTGCATGCTCCCATTTATAACTTTGACCTTATGTTATTATTTGCCTATATATCCTTTTAATATGGAGTTACTATACTATTGCCAGCTTTAACAGATGATGGAAAATTTCTACTTGCTGCACGCAAATGTCGCCGTGCTACTTGCACTGACTATCTAATCTCAGTAGATGCTGATGACATTTCAAAAGGAAGTGGCGCATATGTTGGGAAGTTGAGGTATGCTCGGACCTGAATATTCATGGTTACTTCAAGATGTGGTGCTTGATTGTAGACTATAAACTTCTTGCCAGAAATATGCTTGACTGTTTGGAGTGGAGAGATGTGGTATCAGCAACTTCTAGATGAGTAGGGAGTGCAAGGACTTTATTTGGATGAACTCTGGTTCAGTTTGACAATGTTGTGATGTGCTTTGTTGTTTTGTTACTAGATGCATTTTGCATTTAAATGCAACATGATTATTTTAACTAAAATGTTATGATAGATTATCTTGTTTGATATAAACAGTTGTTAGAGTAATAAGAATTGATTAAATGACTAAAATAGATATGATTATACGTAACAACTAAATAGCTACATTTATTTTAACGATACAATATGTTTTTTATTGCCGATTTCTGTAAGATTATTAATTAATAGTTATGCACATATGAAGTAAATCAACTTCTAATACTAATAATTAATTATAACACAATTTATGTAATAATGGTAGGCAATTGTTTTGATGGAAACGAGTTTTATTAAGTCCATCCATTATAAGAGTATCTCAGATGATAATTAATAAGGAAGGAGGTATTTATGGAAAATGTTTGAGGATATTGCTGGTATCTTAAGGTCAGAAGGGCAATTTTATGTAAGTGATAGTTGTAAAATTGATTCTGCTGTTTAAAAGGCATAATCAGCTAATTGAAAACTTTGTCAAACAGGGTCTAAAAGTATTTTACTTTCCTAAACATGTTATCATGTCAGTTAAAATCTTTTTTAGTAGAATAGTAATGACTAATAGTAAATGCTCTCAAAAAGCGAATGAATTGGTGCCTTTTAAAACTTTGAATCTGTTTGCACTTTTGAACCTTGAATTTTTGCTCCTTGTTTATTTCTTCCAGTTTTGACTGCAGACATCCATGTGCAGTCTGCTTTGTTTTGATCTTGAGACTTATTGAGTTGATTTCATGGAATTGTATGGTTGTTTACATTGCTAGCATTGCCAGTTAGCCACAATACTTTTCTGCCGAGAGTAGAAAAAGAAAAGAAGTATGCAAGCATAACCCCATACTTTATTGCTTTAGTAATTGTGAGCTATTTTTTATTGCTTAGTAATTATTTGTCATTCTTGTCTCTTTCAACAAAAGTTTGATGAAAGCATCCGTATTAATATATCTTGACAACCTGCAAGAAGGCAAAAGTTTGTTTTAATCATGAAAATGGCAGATAGATGATAAATCCATGTTTTGCACTCAGTACTCGTTAGCATTATATAATGATGAACCTCTGAAAAAGTTATTGTTTTTCAGGGTTATATGGTGTTGATTTTAATTTGGAAAATTGGAAAACATCAATCTTTGATAGTATCTTCCGATTGTGTGATCTATTTCATTACATAAGCAAATGATATAAGCTTTTTTTTTTATGCCTTCTACCATTTTCTCTATGGCAGATCAAGTTTTCTGGGCAGGAAATTTACAGTGTATGATTCTCAACCTCCTCCTACTGAAGCCGTGTTCACAAAATGTCGCTCTACACGACTTTTAGGTTCTAAACAAGTCTCTCCAAGGATCCCCGCTGGAAACTATCAAGCTGCACACATTGCTTATGAGTTGAATGTATTAGGCTCTCGGTAAGAATTGCCATCTTCTTGGATGCATATTTTCTCTTGTAGGAAAGAATACATTGTATGCTAGAACTACCAGCCTAAGTTTTTTTTTGTAAATTTCTGTTGTTTGCGGATGGTAGGGGCTCCATATCTATGATACAAGCTGCTCAATCCCTTGAAAACAAAATTTAAGCATCGCCTTGTTTCATTCTCAGGCATCTTCATAGATCATTTCTGTTCTGTAGATCTTGTTGAATGATTCAAATGCCACTGCTTACTCTTTTTCTAATTAATGGCATGCATGTGATGTGAACATTGGGGATGAAGGCATCATGTTATTGGAACAAGTATGTTCAGTATACAACAATGGACTGAAAATGCTTAAAAAAATATATGATAATTAGTTAAAGTTTTTTACGCATGATTAACTCTGCTTGTATGGCCAGATGTCCTAGGAGAATGCACTGTGTCGTGGATTCTATCCCTGCCTCTGCAATGGAACCTGGCGGAGTGGCACCTACACAAACTGATTTTCCTCAGAACAGCATCGATTCCTTTTCATCGATACCATTTTTCAGATTCAAATCATCTCGTATGGATAACTTCCCTGGCCTTTCAAATCCTCAGAAGGAAGTAAATTTGGTCTTAAAGAACAAAGCTCCGAGGTGGCATGAACAGCTTCAATGCTGGTGTCTAAATTTTCGTGGACGGGTGACGGTTGCATCGGTGAAGAATTTTCAGTTGGTTGCAGAAGACTGTGGAACCAGTGGGCAGAATAATAATGACGTAATTCTCCAATTTGGAAAGGTTGGGAAGGATTTGTTCACCATGGATTATCAGTATCCAATATCAGCTTTTCAGGCATTTTCTATCTGCCTTAGTAGCTTTGATACCAAACTAGCCTGCGAGTAAAGGAAGGTGCGTCTGATTCCCTTTAATTGCGATTCTTTTGGTTCTTCATGCTAATGATAACATTAATAGAAGTACCATGGCTAATATAACAACTCCCACAGCTCAGACTGCTTGAGCTCTTTCAAAAAGCTGCCAAACTGTCTATTTACTCACTTGATAACGTTCATATAAGCAGGTGTACATTATGTCTTGATTGTGATTGTTATTTAACATCGTACACAACATTTAATAGGAAAAAAATAAAAAATGGTGATTCATAAAGACAACCCCAATTAACTGGAACTGGACTAATGTTACTGATAAAGAACTATTTTGAAACCATTGCTAATTGTGCTAATTTTTGTTTAAAACGTTGCTTCATTTAGTTGATTTTAATTTGGAGTAGTTATGAATTTCTATCTTAGAAGTAAAAAAATATCATGAAAAGAAATTATTGCCTCTGATAAGAAGGTAGAATTTGAAATGTTAGAAGTTAATCAATAACAACAACATCATGCCTTTATCCCACTACATGGGGTCAGCTACATGAATCATTTTTTTTCCATTGTGTCATATTAAAAGTCAAATTCTCGTTTAAATCTAATAAAGAAAGGTCATTCATAATATTTTCTAACCAAGTCTTTTTAGGTCTGCCTCTACCTTTCTTAATATAAGTCAAATCTAATACCTCTACTTTCCTAACCAGATCATCAGAAGGCCGTTGTTTTATGTGAACAAACCATCTAAGGCGACTTTCTCTAATCTTATCTTCTACTGGAGCTACTCCAACCTTTTCACTTATATGCTCATTTCATATCCTATCCTTAAGGGCAAAGCCACTCATCCACTTGAGCATCCTCATCTCTGCCACACTTAACTTAAAATTATGCTTCTCTTTTAATGGCCCACATTCGGCGCCATAAAGCATTGCAGGCCTCACCACTATCTTATAGAATTTTCCCTTAAGTTTGAGGGGTACTTTTCTATCACACAGCAAGCCCGATGCATTCCTCCACTTCAACCATCCAACTTGAATTTTGTTGATAATATCCCCATCTATTTCACCATCACTCTGAACAATAGACCTAAAATATCTAAAACGTGTATTCTTATTAATGCTTGATCGCCCAAAGTCACAATCCCCTCACTAGGTCTATTACTACTAAAATTACACTACATATATTTCATTTTAGATCTACTCAAGCGAAAACCTTTAGACTCTAAGTTTGACATTCATAATTCAAGTTTACCTTCAACTCCCTTTCTAGTCTTATTAACAAGAAGAATATCATCACCAAAAAGCATATACCAAGGTACATCCTCTTGCAAATGTTTAGTGAGAACATCCATGACTAGAGAAAAAAGATACGGGCTTAAGGTTGATCCTTGATGTAACCCAACCGAAATAGGGAGATACTTGGTCAAACCACCTTGTGTTTGAACACAAGTAATAGCTCCTGCATACATATCTTTAATGATTTGAATATAAGTGTTATTAACTCCTTTCTTTTCAAGAACTCTCCAAAGCACTTCTCTTGGAACTTTATCATATGCTTTTTCTAAAACAAAAAATATCATGTAGATCCTCCTTATTTTCTCTATATTTTTCCATCAAACCTCTTAATAAATGTACGACTTCCATAGTTGACCTACCCAGCATGAATCCAAATTGATTTTGAGAAACATTAGTATCACGCTGCAACCTATGCTTCATAACTCGTCCCATAGTTTTAAAGTATGAAACATTTACTTAATTCCTCTATAGAGGTTAATCGTTAGAAGTTAATCATTCATGATTATTTGTTTTGAGAGAAAAATTGAAATTTTATTATTAAATAAAACTTGATATTCGAAAGATGATGTAGACAAGCATTGGAATAAATGGATATTTATTGGTGGGCTAAATTTTTCTTAGTGGGCTTAGCCCATTTTCCTTTTTTTGTGGCTGACTTGAGTTGTTGGGTGCTGTTTCTATTGCCCAAGTTCATTTCCACTGTTTATGCCTTTTCGTTTCCTTTGCTTGCCCGATTCTTTCCCTCAGGCGCTGTCCGTTCGTTGGCTGTGTCCCGTGGCCTCTTCATGTGCTGCTCCAACCGGTTGTTTGTTGGCCTTTTTCCTCCCCCTTTCTGATTGGTTTGAGTGGGCGAATGCTTGGGCTGTTTAGCTCCCTCTCTTCACCTATATATAGAGGTTGTTTTGTGACATTTGAGAGAAGATTTTGGTGTGAAAATATTTGGAATGTAAAACCTGCGGGTTTTGTTATAGCTTGCGAGCTAGAAGGGCTCTCTTCTCCTATCTTTGACTTCGTCTCAGACTTCTTATCTATTTCTTCTCTCCTCAAGTGTCCACCCCATTTGTATCTTTCTTCCCAATCAATATAAAAGTTGTAAGGTGTATCGAGTCATATTTTTAGGGTGTCATTGCTTCGTGTTATGTCTTTTATTTCAAGTTTGAAGTGTCAATTTTTGTGTCTTATTTTTTATATTACTTTTTGTCATTTTGAAAGGAAGACATCAAGTTTATATGTAATCTTAGTAGTCTTCAAAAATTGATTGCATCAATTTGGTATAAGAGCCTAGGTTTTTGTTGAGTCTTCCTTTTTTTAAGTCTTGAAAAAAAAAAGGAAAATCATGATGTAATTGAGTCTAAAGTTGGTGAAAGTAAGCCAGGTAATCTTGAAGAAACTATTCCTAAGCCTTAAATGCTACATTTTTTCTCTCCTTTTGGTTGGTTGTATGGGTGGCTGAACATGGCTTTTAGCCTCCCTTTTCTATCCTAATATATAGGTGAAGAAAGGGATCCCAACAGCCAAACATCCGCCCACATAAGCCAATAGAAAAATGGGAGGCAAAAGACCAAAAGTCCACTGCCTGGAACAACACAAGAAGAGGCCGCGGGACTCGGCCAACGAACGAACAACACCGAGGGGAAAGAATCGGGCAGGCAGAGGAAACGAAAAGGCAGACAGGGGGTGATGAACCCGGCCAACAAAAACAACAAGCAACAACTCAAGTCAGCTACACCCGAAACAACAAAACCACATCAAAAAAAAAGGGAAATGAGCCAACCCATTAGGGAAAATTTAGCCAACTAATAAATACCCATTTATTCCAATGCTTGCCTACATCAATTCTCCTCCGGTTGAAGGTTCTCATCCCCTGATGAGTTGACTTTAGAACTTTCTTGACGAGTCGAAGGCGCAACATCCAATTCTTGAATCAAAGCCACATATTTTCTCTAGATCTTTTCTTTTTCTTGCTTAACCTAGGCTTGCAGAAGTTTCTTTTTCTTCTTGTATTTTTCTGTACGCAAGTACATTTGATATTGAATTTTATACAACTCGTTCTGTATGGGATTGGTAGAATTTCCTTGCGTCGGAATCCGTCGACTCATAGGAACAGCTTCTTTAAGATTACATGGCTTACTTTCTCCAACTTCAGACTCAATTACATCATGATTTTCCATTTTTTTTCAAGATTTTATAGAAAAACGGAAGACTCAACAAAAACCTAGGCTCTGATACCAAATTGATGCAATCAATTTTTGAATACTACTAAGATTGCATATAAATTTGTTGTCTTCCTTTCAAAATGACAAAACACTCACAATAACACATTACAACCTTTTGTAGTTTTTTTTAGAAGAAAGATACAAATGGGATGGAAACTTGCGGAGAGAATAAATAGATAAGAAGCCCTAATGGGCTTGGCCCATTTCCCTTTTTTTTATGTGGTTTTGTTGTTTTGGGTGTGGCTGACTTGAGTTGTTGGTTGCTGTTTCTGTTGGCCGGGTTCAGCCCCCCTCCCTGTTTGCCTTTCGTTTCCTCTGCCTACCCGGTTCTTTCCCACTGGCGTTGTTTGTTCGTTGGTTGTCCCGCGACCTCTTCGTGTGCTGTTCCAGGTAGTGGACTTTTGGTCTTTTGCCTCCCCTTTTCCTATTGGCTTATGTGGGCGGCTGTTTGACTATTGGGATCCCTTTTTTCACCTATATATTAGGCCTATTTATGGCTGTTTTAGGTAATATGATGGATTATTTTTGTAGTTAAAACTTGAGGGTTTCTTCTTGGATAGCTTGCGACTTTATCCACTTCTTCTTCTCCTCTCTTTGATTTCGTCTTGAGCTTCATATATATTTCTTCTCTCTATAAGTTTTCACCCAATTTGTATCTTTCTTCTCAATCAATATAAAAATTGTAAGGTGTCTTGAGTCGTATTTTTAGAGTGTCATTGCTTTGTGTTATGTCTTTTATTTCAATTTTGTAGTGTCAAATTTTGTGTCTTATTTATTGTATTAATTTTTGTCATTTTGAAAGGAAGACGTCAAGTTTATATTCAATCTGTTGGTAGTCCCTATGCCTTCAATTTTTTATTGCATCAATTTGGTATCAGAGCCTAAGTTTTTGTGTTTTCCTTTTTTTTAAGTCTTTAGAAAAATGGATAAACATCAAGATGAAGGCAGACAAGAAAGTAAGCCAAATAATCTTGAAGAAACTAATTCCTAAGAGCCGATGGATTTCGATGCAAGGAAGTTCTACCAATCCCATAACGAACGAGTTGTATAAAATTCAATATCAAATATACTTGTGTACGGAAAAATACGAGAAGAAAAAGAAACTTCTGCAAGCCCAGTTTAAACAAGAAAAAGAAATGATCCATAGAAAATATGCGGCCTTGATTTAAGAATTGGATGTTGTGCCTTCGACTCGTCAGGAAAGTTCTAAAGTCAACTCATCAGGGGATGAGAACCTTCAACCGGAGGAGATTTGATGTAGGCAAGCATTGGAATAAATGAGTATTTATTGGAGGGCTAAATTTTCCCTAATGTGCTTGGCCCATTTCCTTTTTTTTTGTTGTGGTTTTGTTGTTCCGGGTTTTGCTGACTTAAGTTGCTGGCTGCTTTTTCTGCTGGCCGGGTTCATCCCCCCTGTTTGCCTTTTCGTTTCCTCAGCCTGCCCGATACTTTCCCCCTGGCGTTGTCCGTTCGTTGGCTGTCCCGTAGCTTCTTCGTGTGCTGTTCCAGGCAGTGGCCTTTTCATCTTTTGCCTCCCCTTTTCCTATTGACTTATGTGGGTGGCTGTTTGGTTGTTGGGATCCCTTTCAGCACCCATATATTAGGGTTGTTTGTGGCTGTTTTAGGTAAGATGATGGATGATTTTTGGAGTTAAAACCTGAGGCTTTCTTCTTAGATAGCTTGTGAGCTTTGTCCAATTCTTCTTCTCCTCTCTTTGACTTCGTCTCGGTCTTCTTATCTATTTCTTCTCTCCGCAAGTTTCCAACCCATTTGTATCTTTCTTCTCAATCAATATAAAAGTTGTAAGGTGTCTTGAGTCGTATTTTTAGGTGTTATTGCTTCGTGTTGTCTTTTATTTCAAGTTTATAGTGTCAAATTTTGTGTCTTACTTATTGTTTTAATTTTTTTCATTTTGAAAGGAAGACGCCAAATTTATATGCAATCTGTTGGTAGTCCCTATGCCTTAAATTTTTGATTGCATCATAAGATGGTTAGTTACTTTAACAAGTTTGTCAGAGAAGTATTATGAGATTATAGAAGTATATCATTCATTGATAAAAAGGCCTGATGTTTCGATAGGCTATTAAGTAAAATAATTTGCTTTTGAAAAAGTGGGAAGGAATACGTATTATGAGATTTATAAAGTTTTAAGAAAGCTATAACAGTAACTATTATCCTTGATGGTTTCTATAACAAGCTACGTATTAGGCATGGAGAAAGGGAGATATAGATTTGAGAAACACTAATGTTTATACTTGTAAGAAATACATAATGTTATCGTTTAGTCGAGTGAATTGCATTACGAGTTTTGATGTTATTTTATTTTTTTTTTCTTAGCTTTTTTATTCTACATTAGATTTTTTGGTTTAAACATATCTACGATGCTGGTTCTTTTAGAGATTGGATTGTGTTCTCTAATGCCTCTGCTAGTTTCCGTGGTTTGGTTCAATTCCCTGCATTGTTTTGGTTCATTATTTGTTCATGGTTCAGCTATCAGATCTTTTATTAGGTTAATCTCTATTATTGTTTTAGGAACATGCGACTTGGGCTGCTGGATTGCTGTTTGGGCCCTGTTTAATCATGCCCGAGGAGGTTCCATTAGAACTATTGCCTAGGACTGTGTTTCTGTTATTAATTGCACTCATTTACTATTCTTGGAAGACAAATCCTTGACATAACTAGTTAATCGTATGCTTTCTATTGTAGTTCATTGAGTTATTTGTTAAGTTTTGCAATTGGATGCCTTATCTTATTACTAAATTTTGAGTTTTATTTTATTTGAATTTTTTTACTTTTGTTTTATTTGAATTTTGAGAGGCTTTCGATTTTGAGTTTTGTAATATGTAATCTTTGAAGCCTCTAAAGGACAATCAATTGCTTAATGAAATTCATTCTCTCTCAAACATGTGTTTTTTGGATGTGAATTCTTCGAGTATTGTTGATAATTTTCTTGGAAGGCTTTTCAGTGTACGAACATGAGGTTTGAATCTCTTATTTGATGAATTTGTCTTGTTCCCTCTTCATCTACATATTTTGTTATTGGATTTGATCAAATCTATTATAATTTGATTTTTTTAGTATTAGTCTAAATCTTGATCATTATGTTTTTACTTGATCTAAAATTTCTTGAAGAAAAAAAATTAGGCAATTATTAAATTATCATTTGAAGTGGATTTGTTGTACTTTTGGTTTTCATTAAACAAAGAAACTCTTACTTTAGATGGTTAATGATCTGCAAATAATGAATTCATGTGCGTGATTTTATATCTCTCATCCTAGTTTTGCATTTAGAAAAACTTAAACTCAAAGATATCCAACTTAAAATTTGTTATCAGTGCCTACATTTGTGTCAAAATATGAAGTAGAAGTGGAGCTCAATTTTAGAGTCATTTAGCTTTACCAAATGGATGTGATTTTGGCATCTGAGGAGAGACCGTGAGCTGGTGAGAGCCGGTCTTCTCTGTAGCTGAACTATTGTTCCTGCATTGTTTACGGAAGAAGAAGAAAAAGAGAAGTGGAGAGCTGATGCTACAGGAAAATTGGGAAGAAAAACCCATCGATTTGTATTGTATAGCAGTTTATGTATACAAATATGTGTACAACAACAACAACATCAAGCCTTTATCCCACTAATATAATGAGTGAAAATCTGTACATGGCAGAGGTTTGATACAAACCAAGTGTGAGGATTGCTTAGTTTGTTAGAAAGTAGAGGATAGGATTAAAGCTGTACATATTATTTGGCTCTCTTACATTTGAGTGCTTATCAGCATCTTTGTAATACCAATTGGTTGAATTGACATAAACTTACTCAAATAAGTGAGAACATAAATCAAGTTAAGGAGTGAGTTTACACTATGGAAACCAAACAGTTTCACTCAAATGAATTAGAATTTAAGTTTAATCTTAATGGAGAACATATCATTTTAATGTTAACAGTACTAGTAAATAAGAAATTCATCGTGGGAGGAATAATTAAGAGAATCTTTACAGGGTTTATGATAATCATAGCTATCAACTTTATAACATAAATGATAACATAACTAGCAAACTAAAATTGAGATGACAACATTTGATGTGAAAATGGATCCTGAAGTTTTTCCTTACTGGATATTAGACATGAATAACTTGAATAACAAATAATGTTGGGTGAGCGCAGATTATAAGATTTTTAAACTAAACGATTTTCAAAACTAAACTTAGCTAGGCAAGGCGACATAAAATGTGGATAGGTATGAAAAAACAAAGGGAACATCTACTTTGGTTGAAATGAAAGAATTATTAGAAGAGAAGTATCTATTGTTATCATATTATTGTATGTTGCTTGATGAATTCAATTCAGTAAAATAATGGATAAAATTTTTAACTGAATTCATGAAGAAATTTGAGTTAAATTGACACCATTTTGAATAAATCAAGATCCTAAAATTCTGTATAATTAATTTTAGTTTGAGACCTGTTATCAGAAGAGAAATAACACTGCATAACATTCTATCACATAAACATTATTATGAACTTGCATTAGATTTTTGAGCAAATGCTAAAATTTCATGCGCCTAAGTTTTTTACTACACATACTAAAAATGCTTCTTTTTATCAAAATAGTCAAATTGGATCAATTGCATTCATTACATAGGAAGGAAAATAACACTACAAATATATTAAGAGAAAATATCTTACTATTGGGTTGTAATATTTTTTTAAGGCTTATTTTAAATGATTGCAACCGGGTGTCATAGTAGAAATTTGTTTATTGATGTGGAAAAAGAGGATAATGAGATTAACGAGTGTGTTTTCGTTCATTAATTTGATTAAGAGATTTGTGATTCTAGAAATGCTTGATTGAAAAGTCTTTGAGTGTTATGTGATACATCATTATCCTACCTAAAGTTGAATTTTATTATAAAATAATTTTATTTTTCAGTCCTATTTCAATATGATGGTAAACTTTTTAAACTCTTTATGAAAGTAGTTGTATGAATTTTGTCACTAAATTTTCTATTTATCATATAAATATGCAAGCGGAACCACAAAGATGTTTATTGCTCATTCAGCTTGTTGCTTATAGTGATAAAATCCAATGTGATATTTTACCTATGGATAGTGCACATCATTTTGCATAGACCTTGGTTGTATGATGTTGATTTGGCTCACTTTAGGAGATAAGTATTTTTTGTGTTCAAGAGCAATGGTAGGAAGATAGTTTTAAAATATACCAACTTAGGAGTACTTGTGTCTTATAGTCAAAATAACTTAGTAAAGAACTATAAAAGTTTATACAAAACTCTTCATATCTACTTGTGATGCTTTATGGATTACTTTTTAATGAAATATCAAATGCTCAACTTGTTGGAGCTGAATTTTTCAAGTTGAGCAAATTTGGTGGAATATGGACAGCAAAGGTATTTTGTGGATTGACATGACATATCTATTTATGATGATTTATGGATTATTTTATAGAAAGCACAACAATTATGCCCCATTTACTTAATGAATATGAAATGTGCAATTTGGAAATTTGGCGGAGCTAAATTTTTCAACCTGAGCAAATTTGATAGAAATGTTAAACATTTTACTCAATGGAAATGTAAGATGTGAATGCTGACACAAGCAAATTGATATTATGAGTTTTGATGTTTCTTTGGTATTTGTTGAAGGTTTCTATTAAAAACTGATGAATATCGCTAATTAATTTTATGTGATTTAATGAATCTATTTATTTTGGTGCTTTTGAAAGTTGGATCGAAATACTGTTGCATGATACACCAAATTTATAAACAATATTATGAGTAATGAAGTTGATCATTTGTGCGACAATAACTTCTTTGAATGGAGTCGTTTTAGCCCACGTAGAGAAGTAGTCGGTCACTGCTAAGATGAAGTAGTGTTCAACTGAAGATTGTGGGTCGATTAGGCCAATTATATTCATGCCTCAACACTTGAACGATCAAGATGCAACTATGGGGTGCAATAGATTTGACGGTTGATGCAGTGCATTACCATGTACTTGACATGACATCTCTTCACATGCTCAATATAATATTTTATCGTTATTGTCTAGTAATAACCCTTTCTTTTAATCTTGATGGTCATTTTGAGACATGATTGGTGCGCACTACGAAGTTGTTCATGAACAACGATCAAAATCTTATCAACTTCTCCGATCCTCAAACATTTTAACCACATTTGATCAAAGTATCTGCGGTAAAGGGTTTTGTTGACAAATACATATCCCATCACCCTTTTTCTAATCTGTATAGCTAATGATTTGTTTGCTGGAAAATTTTCCTTAGAAATAATTGATAAAAAGGCTATCTCCAATTAGCTTGCTCTTTAACCATTAAGGCTTCCAACCATAATTTTGAGGCTTCGTTGGACTTATGCCTTCTTTGAATCATTTGTGGTTTATCTTATTGGTTGTTCTCCAGAATGATTTGTGACGGAGAGTGTGGATCAACTGGAGTTGTATCCTTCTGGCTTAAATTTAACAACCTCTTTCTACCGAGGTCTACAAGAAAGTTGGTTGCAGTACTTGACGAGTTTAAACTCTAATCAACACGTACTCATTGTTCATATCGCTATCTCTTTAACTGATTTTGCTAGATTCTAATTTGCTATTTAAGTTTTGGGAGACTCAAGTTAAAGTGATATTCGGATCTTTAGTAAAACAATTATTTCTTGCTAAGCTTGTAGTTGCCTAAGATTTGATTTATGATAAACTGAGAATCACTAAAAATATAAATCATTTAGATTTTATTGAAATAACGATCTCGAGTCCTGCCACTAGGGCTATATATTCAACTTCGTTATTTGTTTGGGGCTCAATTAAGTCACCCATTAGATGTCATGAAGATAAGGCCGATGCCAGCTTGTGCCTTTGAGAGACTTATTAGTTGGACAGATTTGACGGATGATGCTCCATCAAAATGTCCTAGATTTAAGATCATTCATTTTTGTGAATGAGCAAAATTTGCTCATTAGGTAAGTCATTCTTAAGAGATGAATCAGTGGAATAGAATGCATGGGGAGAAAATCTGCGAGAACTTATCATTCTTCGCTTATGAGAAATGTAGGTGATCTCAAACTATAGGAGCATCACTGCTCATCTGGCCAAGTGACATAGTAACTCTAATCTTGTCATCAAGAACTTTAGCAGATTTATCTTTGAGATCAAAGTGATATCATAAGAAAGCATGTATTGACAAATCTTTTGAGCGGCAAAGATGATTACCGAACAATGCTTTTCAATAGGAGAATATCATGCTTCTGCTCTTATTAATCTTCAACTAATGTAATAGAGAGCACTCTCCTTGTCTTTTCATTGTATTGTGCCAATAATGTTTTGGGGGATTGGACTCATTTAAAGTTGTCATGTACAAAATGAGATGTTTTCTCAAGATTGGCACTGCACGAATGGGTGTGCTCTACAATTATCTTTTGATGCTATCAAAATCTTTTGAGGGCACAAAATTTTTGGAGCGTAATTTCAAATATGAGTTTAAATATAATATATTAAAAATTCAAACTGACAACAAGCTCGCTCATGCTCAACCCATTTATACTCCTACATGCATTACATTTTATAATGAAGA